CACTCTACCAATACATTTCACTGTCTAAAATTGATAGATTGAAGTTCAAAATTACTAAAAAATATATATAAATTTCTTCGCTGTAGATGATAATAACAGGATTGTTACACTCTACCAACGCATTTCATTGTCTAAAATTGACAGTTTTAAGTGCAACTCAGGTGAGAAAAGTTTAAAATAAGATACTCTAGATACCCATAATGGCTCTCTGACTGTAAATGTAGTGTTCAGTCAGTTTAAAAGTTTAAAAGTGTCCAGGGTTAGTTTCCCCAAGACCCTGCACTGCGCCCTCCCCTAGATACGGCACTGCTATTGCTGTCTCTTATACACATCTAGATGTGTATAAGAGACAGATATATGTCAAATAGATAATAATAAAATGCTCAAATATACATGATGATACAAAACAGAGACACGCTCTAAACTGTCAAGTAGTGTAGGCCTACAATAAGTGTACTTATGTTATAAAGGTGAATCTGCAATTTCCCTTTGCCTGCCAAGATTCAAACCCAGAACATGATTGGTTAAACAGTGCTGGTTTAAGTGGCAAATTTGGTTTGGTAGGTGCATTTTTTTAAGACACTACAACCTCGATGAGTTTAATTTTTTGATGCGCAATTGCAAATTGCATACTGTAGGATATAAATATACGAGGCTTCCGTATTTTATGCGATATAGGCCTAAGTTGTATATATCGATTACTGACACTTCATTATAATTATTATTGTTACCAATGAATTTAGACCAATTTCAAAATACTGAAAACAGGGAACATTTTTTTAATTTTTTTGTAATGCAATAAGTTTATATAACTTCTTTTTTTCCCTAGTAAAATGTATACATATCTGCTACCTGCAATTTGCCAAAATGCGGCTGCGAATGCAAACAACCAAGTAATTGTGGACGATGAACTCTCAAATTCGGTGCCAATATGATCTTGGAATACGCTAAACGTATTGAGTACACCAAAACCCAACAGAAGTGACAAACATGATCCACAGAGCGCCTGACAGGAATATCTTCTGAACTCACTGTTAGTTGGCATGATTACGCGATCTAAAAAAAAAGTATGAAAAGGGAAAAGTGAATTGTGGAGAGAGCTTAATTGAAAACAATAGTTGATGATAATTAAAATAATGATGATGATAATGGTGAGGATAATGCCCCGGATATAAATTATGTCTGTCTCTCTTTCTCTGGGTCAGGTGGCGCCAAGTTGCGCTGCTGTGGCCTCCACAAGTAGCACGCCATCTTCTTCTGTCTGGTGCCAAACGAGCTGCACCATACATTCCGTGTGTTGTAACTTTCTTTACATCATCTGTCCAAGATGTTGATTGACGTCCCCTTCCCTTCCACGATGGTCTTACATGGCTTCCTCAAGAATTTGCTTTTCAATCTCATTGTTCTTTCTTACAATGTTTTTTTTTTTCTAAATAATGAACTTTCTGAAGTCTAAACCGGTCTTGTCCAGGACCCAGGTGTTTGTCTTTCTGTCTTTCCAGAATACTCCCAACGGCCTCCTGTAACACCACAAATTCAATTCAATTCTATAGCATTCATTTATTTTCCAGAAGACACATATTTACAAAAATCCAAACCATCATTTAGGCCTATCAGTCAGGCGGATTGTTATAGAGCAACAAGTTACTATATAAACACTCTTTCGTGTGCAAACAACAATGCATAATTAACAAAGAAAAAAACCAAGAAGTCGTCATCGTCTTGATGATAATGAGCGAAACATAATTTATTTAACACATATATAAGTATTATAAACGACATTTCAGCAGTTAGACAACCTCTAAGCTATTATCTGACTGTCACCCAGAACAAACGGCCTTTAATGCCATTATACCTAAAACAAAGTGGCGGTTCAGATGATATGCTTGTTTGCTTTTATTTCGAATCCGAAGACGAAATACAAAGAAATACGACTGGATTGAGGACGACCCAACAAATCCAAAACAGCTATTTATTTTATATTTATTTATCTGTTATTTATACTGGGTTTCCTCTTCAGTAACAAATTACTGTTCTCCCAGAGGGCCCAGTACACATACAACAGTCCACGACACACAAGACAAACATACACACATGATACTTTACACAAACTAAATCTCAATATGAGGTTTAGGGAGTGGAGTTGTTTTGGTCGAGAGAAAAAATTCTGCAACTGACAGGAATTGAACCCATGACCCTGGGATTGAAAGCATCTTAACCACCAAGCTATTCAACTCCACTCTATGAATAATTTTCATTGGGAATAACAATTGTCGTTGTTGTATATCGTCTTATTCAGGAAACGCATGATCAGTAAAGCAAGTTTGCCTGATGAAAAAAGGAGAACTTGATGTACATGTGCACAAAAAAAACAAAAAAAACAAAAAAAAAAACACAATAGCTATGTGGGAAACGTATACAAAGAGATTGTTCACGGTCATGACCAAACAATTTTTTTCAAAGATGTACAAAATACTAAATATTATACTATAAAATACTAAATACTAAAAATGATATACTGGGGGAAAATCTGTGCCATCTGTATCTTATTAATCATTCCCTAGGTTTTTGTCAAAGCAGTCTTTAAACGATTATGTTGTCCAAAACTGATAACGTTTTTGATCACTCTCTTTATATATCTTTACGTCACTGTTTTTATATATTTTTCATCCTAGTGGCCCGGCGGTCTACACTTGCCCCGGTATTTCCCCTACCTAACCACCCTCAGTGCTACTGTATTTGTCGGTCCCACCATGGTTGTATCATGTATTTCGACTTTTTAACAGACAATACAAAACAACATACACTTGTAAGTGTAATACTTGTTACCGGTACTTGTTACTTGTTTTGTAAGCCGTCCTCTATCTTGAGGACATCAGGCTGTCATTCACTGATAACAGTTGACATAGGCCTATACACTAATTTGTATAGAGAGAGACCAGCAAATTATGTGCTACACAAGTAAATTTAAGGAAGGATTGTTAAAGTAAAAACATGGCTGTTGTCAGAGGTACAATTGTTAAGAATGTGAAACTTTTCATGTCTGGAAATGGCACTCTCATACTTTTAAAATACTTTTCAAACAGACGGTGGCACTGGGTGGACCGAGTGGACTTTAGCTTTCACAGAGATTCTAGTCCGGTATTCTAAGAGATAATGTCTGTCTCATTCTCTCCGTGGTTAGGGCTGAGGCACGAACAGTTTAGGAATAGTGATGTAATTGGCATGACTGTTACACTCTACCAATACATTTCACTGTCTAAAATTGATAGATTGAAGTTCAAAATTACTAAAAAATATATATAAATTTCTTCGCTGTAGATGATAATAACAGGATTGTTACACTCTACCAACGCATTTCATTGTCTAAAATTGACAGTTTTAAGTGCAACTCAGGTGAGAAAAGTGTAAAATAAGATACTCTAGATACCCAGAATGGCTCTCTGACTGTAAATGTAGTGTTCAGTCAGTTTAAAAGTTTAAAAGTGTCCAGGGTTAGTTTCCCCAAGACTCCGCACTGCGCCCTCCCCTAGATACGGCACTGCTATTGATATTTGAAGTTAGTATGCCTTAATAATAACTTTCCAATATACTCTTCATATTTTATTTAGTGTGTGTGTGTTGCAAAATGGTAGAAAAAATATATTGTTCACGCTTGTTTTTGTTGTCATTCTACCGGCATAATAAATTCTAGTATAATTTTTGCATATTTATACAACACTCGGACAGATAATTTGGAAAATCATTTATAAAAAAATTATAAATAGTGAGGGTCCCAGAATGCAACTTAGCTTCTAAACCAAGCTAATGACATTTTATCAGGGCATTATGTAGCAGTAAGATATTATGATCAAATGTGACTAATCCAATAACTTTACTTTTATCATTAGCATCCAACCAATTACGTATAGCATTATTGGGGTCAACAAAGTTCCTGAACGGGGCATTGACGCCCACCTCAACTCCATCATGTTTGGGGCTTAGGTGAGCAAATGTTAAAAATAGGTACCTCTAGATGCCCAGAAATGGCTCTGAGTAGTGTTCTTCACTATTTCCCGACGGAGGGTTCAGGGTTTTCCCCCCAGACCCCGCGCTGATGGCACCGACACTGGTATTTTTCCACTTCCAAAACATATAATTTTATTTTAAAGAAGACAATGCATTAATAGAGGAGAACATGTTATATATCTGGCCCAGGCAAGCACCCAGGTTTATAACTGAACTCAGAAGTTGGTATAGCTTATTATGCCTTAATAATGACCACAATCAATTCGTTTTGTCCAAATAATTTAGCGTATTGCGAATTTCATGGTGGAAAAAATTGTTCCACTGTTTTGTTTTTTTAATTGTCAATAGGTAATTAACTGCATTGAGATATAGGCATATTTAAAGATTAAAAATCTCCTTTACTTGCTTGGGAGTCGATTTAAAAAACATAATATTAATATTCTTGATTAAAGCTTTGAGGTATGCTGCCCACGCCAAATGACGTTTGCCCTGTGAGGAAACAGTAGATACTGTAATCAGCTGTAATCACTGAACAGGCTTTCCTGTACAAAGAATAAATAACTAAATACAATAAAACCAATCGAGTATACTCACGTTTTGAAAGGCTTAACAGTCGGTACTCTCCTCAGAATGATACTTGAGCCATTCCAGTTAATCCTAGCAAAGAGGCACAACTTATTAGACTGGGCTAATTCGTCTTACATTGGTTGTATGGTACTGTATTTTGCTATGTCGTGTGATTAACAGGGCCCAGCATAGGCCAATTCTATACATTTTGATCCTAGATGGTTAATAGGGCCAACCATTAGGTCTCCGGCATTTTAACATAATAAAAGATACAAATACACAAAGTGAGAATTTCTAAATATACATTTATATAATTATTTGCATAACATACATAGTATTGACAATATTCGGTGGTCCAGTGGTTATGGCTCCACGTTAGTAAATTTAAATGCCGTATAAAAAAACAGTGTACATTGAATTAAAAGCAAATGAACGAATAAACGATATACTATAAATACTGTAGTTTTGAATATTTGTGTATTAAACTTTTAAAAGAATGTAGGTTAGTTCATTCAGTTTAGTCTTTATGTTGTTTGGAAGATTATTCCATGCCTTGTTTGCCAGGTACAGAAATGTTATTTTCCTTTGTATTTATCGCCATTAGGTGCTTTTGTATGATTTATTTATTGTACACTAATAATAATAATATTTATTTGATATTACACTTTTATATCAGTGGCAGCATGCAAGAAAGTGGCGCAGTCAATCTTAGCTATTGAATGAGGATGGAAAAAAACAACAACTTAAAGCTATACAAATGTAAGAACTTATCTAAAGAAAAAATACAATTTTGAGTTTTAAAATAAACCATAAACACCCCTCACCCCTCCTCACATATATAATGCACATAAAGGCCCTATGCACACAAACATGCATGTATACACGCACACACATACACACACACACACCTGTGTATTCGCAATACTACTTGCACAAAAGTGAAATTCAAAAAGAAGAGAGAAGGAAAACCCTTGATAAAAGTACTGTACATGCAAAGAGACTAAATTTACTGTTTTAAGTTTATCTTATTTGTTTTTCATGGTTCGAATACGTAACAAACTAATCAGTAGATTATAAATCATTATTTTTATGAATGTTGTTTGAACGAAATATATAAGTGAGCATGATTATGATTACAAGGATAAATTGAAAAACTTATTATGATGAGTACTTTAGTGGCAGATTCAGGGGGTGAGGGGCTATCCGGCCCACCCTCTATTTTTTTTTTTTCAAAATTAAAAGTGGAGAAAAAAGAAAATTATATTCAAATTAAAGTCTGAGGGTGCCATTTCCGGCCAACTAGAGACATAATCACCAATTTTCTTACCTCAACCTCACCACCCTCAGCTAAGGATTCGGCCTACTGCCCAAGGCTCCCTTATTTTGTAATTCGCCTTCTCTTCCACCCCAAAACCTTCAACCACTGATCGACGCCCTTGATCCTACCTCAGCCATAATTTCGCTAATGGGAGTTTTGATGTCAACTCTACCTAGCCTATTCTGTATTTTTTTTTTAGTTTGTTTAGGTGATTGTTAGTAGTATTAGAATTAGACCAAATAATCAAAAAGGGGCATAATAAGTGCATTTGATAGCATTTTAGTTGTCTTAAAAGGCAGGTATTTTGTTTGGAAAGGCGAATGACACCAATTCTTTTCGATATTTTAGATGACAATTTGTTAATATGTATAGGCCTAGCCAATGTTAAATCAGGGGCGGATCCAGGATTTGAAAGATGGGGGTTTAAAACGTTTCCAAAAATACTCAAAATGAAGGGGG